TTGTATCCACGATCTCGTTCTTTTGGTCACTACCCAGAGCTCATGACCATAGGTGAGGGTAGGAACGTAGATCAACCGGTAAAACTAGAGCTTCGCCTTCTGACTCAGCTCTCTCTCCACCACGATAGACTGGTACAACGCCCGCATCACTGCAGATGCAGCACCAATCCGCCTATCAACCTCATGCTCCAGTTTTCCCTCACTCGTGAACGAGACCCTGAGATACTTAAACTCCTCCACTTGGGGCAGGACCTCATCGCTGACCCGAAGAAGGCATTCTACCCTTTTCCAAATCAAGACCATGGTCTCAGATTTAGAGGAGCTGATTCTCATCCCAGCTGCTTCCCACTTGGCTGCAATTTGCTCCAGCAAAAGCTGAACATCCCGGCATTCTACCCTTTTCCAAATCAAGACCATGGTCTCAGATTTAGAGGAGCTGATTCTCATCCCAGCTGCTTCCCACTTGGCTGCAATTTGCTCCAGCGAAAGCTGAGCATCCCATTCTGATGAAGCCAACAGGACTAAATCATTTGCAAAAAGCAGAGACCTGATCCTCAGGCCACCAAAACAGATGCCCTCAACACCTTGGCTGCACCTAGAAATCCTGTCCATAAAGGTTATGAACAGAATCGGTGACAAAGGGCAGCCTTGGCGAAGTCCAACTCTCACTGGGAACGAGACCGACTTACTGCCGGCAATGCGGACCAAGCTCTGACACTGGTCATATAGGGACCAAACAGCCTGTATCAGAGGGCCTGGTACCCCATTCTCCCGGAGGACCCCCTACAGGGCCCCCCGAGGGACGCGGTCCAACGCCTTCTCCAAATCCACAAAACACATGTAGATTGGTTGGGCAAATTCCCACGCACCCTCCAGGACCCCCCTAAGGGTATAGAGCTGGTCCAGTGTTCCACGGCCAGGACGAAAACCACATTGCTCCTCCTGAATCTGAGGTTCAACTATCCGACGGACCCTCCTCTCCAGAACCCTTGAATAGACCTTACCAGGAAGGCTCAGGAGTGTGATCCCCCTGTAGTTGGAACACACCCTGCAGTCCCCCTTTTTAAATAAGGGAACCACCACCCCGCTCTGCCAGTCCAGTGGAACTGCCCCCGATGTCCACGCGATATTGCAGAGCTGCATCAGCCAACACAGTCCCACAACATCCAGAGCCTTAAGGAACTCTGGCCGGATCTCATCCACTCCTGGGGCCTTGTCACAGAGGAGCCTTTTAACCACCTCAGTGACCTCAGCACCAGAGATTTGAGAGCCCTACTCAAAGTCCCCAGACTCTGCTTCCTCACTGGAAGACGTGTTGGTGGGATAGAGGAGGTCTTTGAAGTATTCTGCCCACCGATCCACAACATCCTGAGTAGAGGTCAGCAGCACACCGTCCCCACTATAAATAGTGTTGGTAGTGCACTGTTTTCCCCCCGAGGCCCCGGATGGTATACCAGAATCTCCTCAAAGCTGTATGGAAGTCTTGCTCCATGGTCTCACCGAACTCCTCCCATGCCCGGGTTTTTGCCTCGGGAACCACCCGAACCGCGTTCCGCTTGGACCGCCGGTACTCGTCAGCTGCCTCTGGAGTCCCACAGGCCAAAAAGACCTGATAGGACTCTTACTTCAGCTTGACAGCATCCCTAACTGCTGGTGTCCACCAGCGGATTCGGGGGTTGCCACCACGACAGGCACCGACGATCCTGCGACCACAGCTCTGGTCGGCCGCCTCAACAATGGAAGCACAGAATAGGGTCCATTCAGACTCAATGTTGCCCCGCCTGCCCCGGAACATTTTGGAAGTTCTGTCGGAGGTGGGAATTGAAGCTCCTTCTGACAGGAGACTCTGCCAGATGTTCCCAGCAGACCCTTGCAATATGTTTGGGCCTGCCTGGTCTGACCGGCATCCTCCCCCACCATCTGAGCCAACTCACCACCAGGTAGTGGTCAGTTGACAGCTCCGCCCCTCTCTTCACCCGAGTGTCCAAGACATGCAGCCGCAGGTCAGATGAAACAACAACAAAGTCGATCATCATGCTGCGGCCTAAGGTATGCTGGTGCCAAGAGCACATATGGGCACCTTTATGTTTGAACATGGTGTTCATTATGGACAATCCATGAGTGGCACAGAAGTCCAATAACAAAACACCACTCGAATTCAGATCGGGGGCCGTTCCTCCCAACCACACCTCTCCACATCTCACTGTCATTGCCCACGTGAGCGTTAAAGTCCCCCAGCAGAACAAGGGAGTCACTGGAAGGAGCACTCTCCAGCACACCCTCCAAGGTCTCCAAAAAGGGTGGGTAGTCTGAACTGTAGTTTGGTGCATAAGCACATACCACAGTCAGAACCCATCCCTCACTGGGGTAAACCTCAACGTACAGGCACCAAGATGGGGGGCAACTAGTATGCCCACCCCCTGCTCGGCGCCTTTCAGTGGGAGCAACTCCAGAGTGGTAGATTGTCCAACCCCTCTCAAGGAAACTGGTTCCAGAGCCAGAGCTATGTGTTGAGGTGAGTCCGACTGTATCTAGTCGGAATCTCTTAACCTCACACACCAACTCAGGCTCCTTCCCCACCAGAGAGGTGACATTCCATGTGCCAAGAGCCAGCTTCTCTAGCCGAAGATCTGACTGCCAAGGTCCCAGCCCTTGACTACCACCCATTACACACTGCACCTGACCCCTTTGGCCCCCCCCACGAGTGGTGAGCCCATGGGAAGAGGGACCCACCTTTCCTCTTCGGGTTGTGCCCGGCCGGGTTCCATGGGTGAAAGCCCGGCCACCAGGCGCTCGCCAACCTGTCCCACCTCTAGGCCTGGCTCCAGAGGGGGGCTCCGGTGACCTACGTCCGGGCGAGGGAGCACGGTTTCCATTTATATAATTCATCATACGAGGTCTTCGGGCTGCTCTTTGTCTGATCCCTCACCTAGGACATGTTTGCCATGGGTAACCCTACCAGAGGCATAAAGCCTCAGACAACTTAGCTCCTAGGATCATTGGGACACTCAAACCCCTCCACCATGGTAAGGTGGCAGCCTAGGGAGAGGGCTGCGTTCATTGGTCTCTTTATCGCTTGTTTTACCCATTTGTTTTCTACTTTAATGTTTCTACCTGTTTCTCTCATGTACCGTGTTCAGCACCTTGGGCTTCCTGACGGAAGGCGTTTTATAAATAAAGCTTTGATTGATTGATTGACTTTGTTTGCAGCGGACTGTCACACAATCTGTTAACACAGCCGTCTATCAGCAGAGGTTGAGTAAGGACACAAATGATGCGAAGATGATAAAAATTCTTGGATGTACTTACTAATTTGAACAGTTGAGTCATAAACTGCACAGAAGATCCTAATACAACTTTATCCAACTGGAGTAAAGAGTAAGTCATCTTCTTGTTGCATAGGATCTTTGGTTGCCTTCTGCCCTTCACCTATAAAGTTGACTTTGCTGTTTATCTCAGGAGATCAGACTTAAAATAGTCACACGTTCAAGCTCAGTTGTTCTTTTTATGAGGGTCTGGTCATTTTCCTACTAACAAATATTCACTGCTCAGTGAATGTAAGTCTAATATTTATGTGAATCTGAATGAATACAAAAACTTTACATGCAAATTTACACTCTTTGAATTGAACACATCTGTTTTTTTTTACGTGCAACATTTACATTAGAGGCTCTTTGGGAAATAAACTAAATCCTTACGTCTCTAATATGCTAATGTGAGTGAGAAAAGGCAGAGCTTGTGTTTTCACATTAAGATCAGATGTCTATTTGAGGGTTTATGTTGGAGACAGGAGAAACAGGAAAAGGTTACTAGATCTCACAGAAGTGTTTGCTTATATGAATCTTACACCATTTAGTCAGTGGCACCCCCCAAGGAGTGGCCAAAAATGTTGCCCATTCCACTGGCTCCCACTTAATAAATCATGTTCATATTCACACAAACCATAGTGCAACTTGAAAAAAGACTGCGAGACCATCTAGGCTCAGGAACCATTTGCAGGTGTTCTCGGTTCATTAGCTGACACTTTGAGTCTAGAATATTGAACTTTTTCACAATATTATAATTGTCTTGAGATTTTGAATGTGTGTTTTTTAACAGCTGTAATCATCACAATTATAACAAATAAGGCTTGAAATATTTGGCATTGCATGTAATGAGTCTATCACATATATTAGTTTCACCTTTTAAGTTGAATTAGTGACGTAAATGCACTTTTGCACCATATTCTAATTTTTCAAGTTTCAGTTGTAAATTCATCTTTTTTAATTTGAGACATAAAAGTAAAACTTGATAAATAATATTAGTTTTGTGAATGCATTTGTTAAGAGCGGTTCAGGCATTAAAACTTCTACTATCCTAAAACAATAAATGTTGTAATAGAAACCGTTTAAACAACTGCATTTTAAAAATATTTCAGGTCAATGTCTTGGATACACATTGTTTTTTATGACAGGAGGATTAAAAAGGATGCAATCTACATCCAAAGGCTAAATGCTGCCAGAGTTACCTCAGGGACCTACTTGGTGTGCCACTCAAATTTTAACTGGCTCCTCCTATGAAAGGTTTTGGAGGGTGTCACTGCACTTAGTTGGAAACTATTTTGCAGGATAACTTTGAATTACCAAAAATCAAGGGCTGAGTCTTCCGGGAACCGCATTTTGAGTACAGGTTTTAAAAAGTAATAGATTTATGTTATTCTTAAGCCTCCAGGCTGTTTCCTTTCGTGTTTGCTGTCCTGATGTTTAATGTACATTATTGTGAAACTCCATCTGAGCAGTAACCGCTGTAGAGGGAAGCGTACGGAAATGTTTACCTCTGTTGTTCATCCGACCCTGCCATGCTTCCTGCTTCTGGATTTGCTCCAAATGATAGGATAAATAAACAAGAAGGGATCTCTATATTTAGACATCAGCTTTTACAGAAGCTGTGTATTTTTAACACATTTTACTTCTAAAAATTTACTTGTTTGAATATTTATAGTTCACGCTCTTGTCTTTCAGACCGTTTTGATCACCACTGTCCATGGGTGGGAAACTGTGTGGGAAAGAGGAACTACAGATACTTCTACCTGTTCACCCTGACCCTCTCCCTGCTCACCATTTACATCTTTGCTTTCGACATCGTCCACGTGGTGATGCGTGAGTGTCTCGTCTTTAGCTACTCTTGCAGGGCTTTAAAATGTAGAGAAACTGGAAGGACCAGCTGAGGCACAAAGGCTCAACTGCAGCTCAGGATCAGTATGCAAATGCGTGTTTGTGTGCTGAAACTGTGGCTTCCAGCATGATATGCTTCACAAAGTGCTGAGTCATCCTCACCATGTAGTTCGTGAGTTTTAGTCTAACATGAGAAGAAGTTTATTTTTAATCAACAGCTTGTTGATAATGTGTGATGTTCAGGTAAAGTGTTTAATTTTTTTCCCTATATGCTTTTGTGCACAGGCTCTGTGGATAAAGGCTTTTTGAATACCTTGAAGGAAACACCTGGAACATATCCTTTAAATGCAAATTTGTGAGCCTCATCATCCATCCTGACCCAAACTACTTGTAACTTGTAAAAACTCTCTGGTCTCCCATTTTAAAGTGACAAAGTGTATTTTCCCTGGCGATAGGGGGCAGTACATAGCTTAATTGTTGCAAGCAAGCAGTATTTAGATGTTGGAGTAGACCTCATTAATGGATGCCCATTAGGGTCAAACATCCCTAGGAGCGCAACCTCTAGCAAAAAGACAAGCACATCAGACACCCTTACATCAGAGGCAACAAGTGATGAGGTAAATGTGTAAAACGTTTATGAATGGTGAAAATTTTGCAACGGCTTGTTACAAATCAGTAAACGCATTTTGTCCTCATGGGCTCCCGTAGAAGGAAACATGGCGTCTAATATGATGTCGCCCAGCAAGTGTGGTGGAAGTGCGAGTATTGGGATTGGGCCTTAGACCCGCTCCCATGTATTTTAGACACGATTTTTATAGTTATATGTTACAAAGCCGCCTTTTTTTTCAAACAACTGGGCATCATTTAATTCATTTTCAACAACATTTTGATGGATATTTCTAGAGATCAATGGTAAAAACTACACATTGTCTCTTTAAAGGTCACACAACAAAAGCCCACAACAATCCTGTTCCTAAACTCTTGTTTTTGCTTGCTCCAACATGCAAAATTATTGAAGAGTTAAAGCAGTTATGTTTAATTTTTTTTATCTGTAAAAGTGAAAGTTTTACCTTGTCCTGTGTCATAAAGTACGCAAATGTCATTTTTTTGCTAAGCCTGCCCCCGTACCATAAAGCCCAAACTGCTGACGCTTAACTAAACAATGCATTTTCAACAGTTTGGCCCATTTATCCCATTTGGATTTAATAAAGGCTTTTTTTTTAACAATTGCAAATCACTGAATGGAGACAAAACAAATAGGCTCCTGTTAGATCCACATACTTTATAGTATATTACAGCACTGCTATACTGCTATACAGCTTTTTTGTTGTTTTTATTTGAAAGTAAATCTGTCAGCATTTATCAAAAAACTGTTTAGTGTTGGATATAGAAAGTACTTCTTTGCACATTTAATTAGAGTGAATCCAATGCAGCTGTATCCAGTACAGACCATAAAATCTCCTCATCTCTGTCCTTCCACCGACGTTCTCGTCTTTATTCATAGTTTGCTTCTGTTTAACCGTCACCTTCTGTTCACTGTTTAATCAACGTCCATGACTCACATGGAGAACACGTGCTGCTGTTTTCTTAACTGGAACTCACTGTGCTGGAGGTGCTGGTGTGTTTCTTCACGCTGTGGTCGGTGGTGGGACTGACCGGCTTCCACACGTACCTGATCTCCCTCAACCAGACCACCAACGAAGATGTGAGTGCTGCTTTTGAAAACAATACATGTTTTAACCATTTTGTGTTGAGGGATTTAAAATAAAATGAGAAAAAATTGAAATAAACAGGACAGATTTTTTCATCAGGAAACATCATGAATTGAACTATGACACTAGACTAGCTCATAAAAAATCAAAAGATCAGGATCTATGAAGTGTTTTGGAAAAACATAGTTCACTCTACTGTAAGGAATCTGCTTCATCTTGGGTTATTTACAATTGCTAAGTGAGAAACAACTCCCAACTCCCAAGTGTGATCTAGTTTACGCTTTTCATTTTTCTTTCAAAACAACAGATCAACATTTTTATTTACCTTTTGTCTTCCTCAGAATTGTCACTTGGTGTTGCTAATGTCGAGAAAGGAGAAAAAACCCAGAATGAACATTATAGTTTATTCTATTTTCAGCTTTCATCCTTAAGCTGAGTCCACACTGGAGGCATCAGCAGCGCAGAACGGCAGCGGAATATCGCTGCTTCAGATAGAATCCATTATAGCCTACGGGGTCGATCCAAACCGGCCACGGTGCAGAACTTTTCAGGTGCTTCCCAGAAGCGATTTTCCACATCGCACTGATAAAAATATGGTTGGGTTCTATTTTTGCCGAGAGCCAATTCTAGGATGGAGCAATTTCCACAATTACCACAGGGCTGGACAGGAAGTTACACAAGGTTTCAGTGTAAAATGTCTGGGAATTCTCAAAATAAAAGTATATTGCAGAGATGCAATTTCTTATCCATGTAGATCACATCTATACATGTGACCTAACAGCCTATTTACTCCCTGCATCGTTCCAGAAGTGCAACGGTGTGTTTTTCATGGCTTTAATCTCGGCAGCGGAGAGGAACAACGTCATATATGACATCAAATAGTGATATCAAATGTGGTCTCCATCTTGTTTTTGGCTTAATGGCGGATGGCATTAACAAACCGTGACCATTGAAGGCTTGATGGAGTGTGTACCTGGCGTTATTTTTGGAGTAACCATAGCTCTCTAATGATGAGGGCTGATGGGAAATATTTGGAAAAGATAATGAGTTGCTTCACTTTTACACTACAAAGGTTGTTGCAACCACTAAAAGCACTTCTGTTTTACTGCAACCTGTGAGGGGAACTTTGACTTGTGTGCTGTTAGTGTTTCTAGAGATGTCTGACTAGATAGTTATTTATAAGTAAACAATAGCTTACTTCCTTCACAGATGAGGCCCTTCCTGTTTTATAGAGCATGTTCTTGTGTGTCCAGCTTTGAGTGCTGGGATGAATTCAGATTTTTCACCGTACAACCTGCTCCATATATGGCTTAATGTTTATTGATGGTGAAAAAATACAGAATCAGAATCAGCTTTATTGTCAGTGCTCCAGCATCCCGAAGCACAGAAATTTGACTCCGCAGTACAACCTGACCAGGGTTACACATCCAGGGAGACCACGAGAGCTGCCATTCAAGGTGCTCATTTTATGCATCCATCCATCCATCCATCCATTGCATCTCATTCTAGCTATTTAGCATTCTAGCCCTCTCTCTCATCATCATGAGACATTCATGAGATCAGAGGACTCAGTGGTCTCCTTTAAAAAGCAGCTGAAAACTCACTTGTTCAAGCTGGCTTTAGTGTGACCTTCATCACCAGTTTCTCATTATTCTCCTCTAGCTACCAGTTCTGCCTTTCTTATTAATTTTCTCTTTCCCCTTTCGTACATTTTTTAATCACAATTTTGTCATTTTAATTATAATTTTAAATCATTTAAAAAATAATTTTTAATTTTAAAATAGTTGATCTTGTGAAGCACCTCTTTTATTTCTTTCATCGCTCTATCCTATTGCCATCTGTTTATCTTATCAAGCAATTTTAACAGCTATCCTATTGAGCCATGTAGGTCTTTGGAAACCTTTAATGCAAAAAAACGAGTTTTTCCCTGAACTAGAAACAAATGTAGTTGTGTTGGTTTTAGCCCAGAGCATAACTTTTGTTAAATGGTAAATGGCCTGCATTTGTATAATGCCTTCTTAGGGTTCGATGACCCCCCAAAGCGCTTCACAACACCACCAGTCATCCACCCATTCCCACACACGCTGGTGTTGATGAGCTACCTGGGGCACACTAATGGAAGTGAGACTGCCAAACACTGACACCATCGGTCCCTTCGACCACCACCAGCAGGCGCGGTGGGTTAGGTGTCTTGCCCAAGGACACAACAGCAGCACTCCCAGGTGGGAGATGGGATTGAAGCTAC